TTTTTTTTTTTTTTTTTTTTTTTTTTTTTTTTTCCCCTACTATAGCTACAAATCAGTGGTTCCTTCCTGCTGTAAGGGGAGATATTCCTCCAGGCTGTGCAGCACATGGATTTGTTTGTGATGGTACCAGAATACTAGTTTTTGGAGGAATGGTTGAATATGGAAGATACAGTAATGATTTATATGAATTACAGGTAGGAAATATATGAAGATGTCTCAGATCTCTATTTCTCTACGTATGATCAAACATATTTTATATTGCCAACTTGTTCTGCTCCATGAAGAATAAATTCTTTAAATAGTTTCTGAAGGTGGAGAAAATCTAAATAACTTTGAAAAAGAAACTTCCATCTAGTATCTAAAATATTTTATTTAAAACATAAAATATTTAATGTTTTATGAAGGTTAGCTCTTACGTGTCCCTTTTAATGTATATGAAAAGAAAAGCCCGGCATTCCCTTAAAAGCAATTCAGAAAGTATATGACTGCTAATATTATCTGTATTGTATTGACTATGAATGACTATTGATGCAGATATTCCTGAATGTATATTTCTTGTTGTTAAGGCAAGTCGATGGCTCTGGAAAAAAGTAAAACCTCAGGCTCCTTCCACTGGATCACCACCTTGTCCTCGACTTGGCCACAGCTTTTCTTTATATGGTAACAAGTGCTATTTATTTGGTGGCCTGGCAAATGAAAGTGAAGATTCAAATAATAATGTTCCCAGGTATGCCGATTTGTTTTGAATTTAATGTCTTTAAAAAGAGATTATCAGATATGACAGCTTTGAAGAGGAACATTCTAGGAAGGCTGTCCTGTGTACCAAGTACTCACATTTGGAATATTTATGCAGCGGAGGGGATACATGCTTAGAAGCTTAAATGTTTCTTCTGCTAATCACACAATATCTAACACTGACAGCTCTAACACTTCTGGAGGGAAACCTGAGTAGACTTTGGTATTTTTCCTGGTATTTTTGGTGATGTTTTTAAGAATGGCTTGTTTGTTAGAATTACTTAAATCAGCAAAGTCTCATGAGTCATCCGGGAATTCACAATGGAAGTTTCCTCTATAATGCTGTGCAAAACAGTTATGAATTCATCTGGAAGGTTTTTAAAGTAACAGCTGAAGTTGCCTTTATTATCAGCAAACAGCTATAATGATGAAGTTTTATATCCATATTTGCCTGCAGTTCAAAGTGTTTATTGAGCTATAAACTGGCCATTTCAAACTCAGTAAACAAGAGATAATCTGGTGTGAATGCCAAGATTCAAAGACCATTATCTAAAAATAACTTGCCGATAAATTCAGCAACAAATGGCTAATTGTCTGTTGGCCAACCTGAGGATACCAGAAAAGAAACAGCTTCTTTTCACCTTTGTTGCCTTAGAGTTGCAGAAGTTCGTCTCTAATGTCCCACGACATTGTGTGTTTCTTACAACTTTGCCATTTATTCCAAGTTTGTCCACGTGTACTAATTTCTGCTAAGAATATTGTTTACCAATTTTTAATGTTTCTTTTCATTTTAATGTTTCTTTCATGTATCAAGTGTGTCAAGTATGTTATGAAGGTGTGCTTTCCTTAGAGGCAACAAGTTATAATAGTTCATTTTTTGTTTTAAATCTGTTAGATTTGTACTGTCCACAGTGCCATCAAATGTTTGGGGATTTTAAAATTCTGCACTCTCCCGAGACTGTAATACTTGGAAGTGGTCAGGGTTTAAAGCTCACTTGTAATTTTGCTTTCAAGAGAATTTTTCATGCTTTGTCAATAATACCCTAGATATTTAAATGATTTCTATGAACTGGAGCTGCAACACGGTTCTGGCGTCGTCGGCTGGAGTATTCCTGTGACCAAAGGGGTCTTGCCATCTCCCCGAGAATCTCACACAGCCATCGTATACTGCAGAAAAGATTTGGGAAGTCCTAAGATTTATATTTTTGGAGGGATGTGTGGCTGTCGGCTTAATGATCTCTGGGAACTTGACATAGGTGAGTTGATTCTCAGTAGAAGTCAGTGAAGGGGCTCTACTGGCTCAGAGGAAAAATTTCAGTATATAATGATTAATGGCATGATGTGGTGCAGATATTATTGGGACTTAACCTATAGTGTGTTAAACTTGTAATTTTCCTGTGAATTTCCTGTGAATTTTAAAAGAAGCTTGAAGTGCAATAATAAGCACTTTCTTTCTTAAAGTGGCCATGTTAAAAACATAACGTTTTGTTTTGTTGAATGTTAGAGGTATGTTCCATCCTAAAATCCAGGTAGTGAAATACACAGTAATGTGGTTTTTGAGGATTTTTATTCTTTTTCTTTTAGAAACCATGACCTGGTCAAGACCAGAAACTAAAGGGACAGTACCACTTCCTCGCAGTCTCCATACGGCCAATGTAATAGGAAACAAGTATGTCTGTTGTTAAAAGCTCAACTCTAGAAAGGTACACCTAGTAGGAGAATGATGATGCTTACCCCCTACTGCTCAGTATAAACCACCAGCCCTGTCGAGTACTTTTCTGCTTCTGTTGCCCTCAGTGGGAATGAAAAAGTGAATTTCAGATTATCCAACTGTCAGTGTTTCCATCCAGCAGGACAATCTGCCCAACCCAGAAGCAGCTTTCTAGGCTGCTTAATGCCCCTTTTTGCATTCTGGGATGGAGTCAGCTGGACCTGAGCTGGCTCTTGTCAGGAGCCAACTCGAGTGCCTTTGTGTCTGTGACACGACAAACTAGCTATGCAAAGAAACTGCCCAGAGACTAGAATTAGTTGTAGGCAAAACCATTCCATGTTTTTGTGGGCCATTTTCGCTGTAGTCTGTTCCTCATTACTTTGCTTCTTGCCAGTGTGGTTCGTTTTGGCAGAGAGCATTGATAAAATGGACTTTTAAACCTGGGTTTCAGTTCATTTCATATCAGCTTACAAGCATGAGGAGAAAGAGGCAAGGGGAGAAAGAAATGTGTAAGCTTTGTACCTTATGATCCAAGAGCTTAGCTTTTTATCATTTAAATAAAATGTTATTAGTTTGTAGCTTGCATTATGTTTTTAAATTTTGATATTTGACTTAGATACTGGTCTTCTAATTTTAGAATGGTTTATTGAGAGGTCTGTGGTAAAGGGTTGTAGAAACTCCATGTAAATATGTGATTTCTGGAGAGTATTAGCAGTTCGGTGGTTTGTAAAAAGATATAGTATTAATTTCTGTTTCTGGGAAGTTGTTGGAGGAGTTTGGTTTTTTTTTTTTGCTTAGTTGTTTTTTCTAATCGGTTAACTTACTCAAAAATTCAGAAGATAGATATCTGCAACAATACTTTCTAAAGAGAATAGACACAAATAAAATCTGCTGACCAGAACTGTAAAGCACTGGAAATTTTCTGTTTTGTCCTAGTTTGAGAGAGCACATGCAGCAGATCTGGATGTTAATTGGCTTTTCTTTTCTTTTTCCCTCTTCCCTCTTTTCCTATATTTCAGAATGTATGTTTTTGGTGGATGGGTTCCACAGTCAGCGGGAGGTGAAATTTCTGCTCCTGATGGTGAATGGAAATGTACCGGTTCATTTTCTTACCTTAATTTGGGTCAGTGTTTCTGCCTTTCTGGGAGTGGGCATTTTTAATTAATACTTTCTTAACAGAATAGAATAAATATAATGAAGACCCTCAGAAAAGTTTTAGGATACAGAGTTGTAATCCTAGCTGACTAAAGAACATGCCAGTTTTTTTACATCTTTCTTAAGAAGTGATTTTTTTATTGCTTAAACATTCAGCAGGTTTGCTGATGCAAATCTTTATTCATACAACTGTAATGCTAAGTAACACAGATAATCCTTCTTCGTTTATAGTAGAAGAGACAGATCCTGAAATGAGGTTTTTTTCCTAAATGTGATCATACTGTCCCTGAATCCTCAACTTCTGATCTTGTATTTTCCTGAGAGAGACAACCAGAGGTCAGAAAATTCATCCTGTATTAACTGATCGTATCTTGGATTGGAAACTAATTGGAAAGCGACCTTCTCTTTGTAATGTTGCAAATTGAAATGCAATTGTCTATAAAACCAGAGGTGACTTATTTTCATTTTCTCTGAGCAGTCATGTGTATTAACAACTGTATTGCTTGCTTTGGAAAACATCTAGAAACTAAATTTTTTGAGTTTCATTTACTAGATACCACAGAATGGATAGGTCTGATCTCAGATTGCCAGGAGGACAAAGGGAACTTGTTACCAGGGCCAAGAGCAGGACACTGTGCTGTAGCGGTTGGCACTCGTCTGTATATCTGGAGTGGTAGAGATGGTTACAGAAAAGCTTGGAACAATCAAGTTTGCTGCAAAGATCTTTGGTACCTTGATACTGGTGAGTCAGAAATAAATAAGAGACTTGTACTATGTTCCATATTTTATTAACATATGGGAAGCTGACATCATTGATGATCAGAACATTCTAAAGCTGTAGCAAACTAAGATTATTTAAATTTTAAAGCTTACTGAGATAAATCACGCTTCTCTGTTGATTGTTTGAAGGCTACAGCTACAACTTAAACTGAAAAAAGTAGGGGGGCTTGTTTAAAGCCTCTGAAAGAACTTTGTCGCTAGATTCTGCATTGCATGCCATGGTCAGTAGATACAAGATGCTAAAGGGTGTTTTACCTAAACTCAAAGTTCCTGGCCTCTCCTAGTGATCTTTTCTGCTGCTACTTACTCTTTTTTTACCCAACCCCTCCTTCTCTTGGGATCATTGCTGCTGCTGCTTCCTCATGTCTTGGACTGCAAAAAGATATTGTAAAATCTGAGAAAGGACCAAATTGCTCCTGGGGCTGAAGGGAATCCCGGAGTGCTAATCACTCATTAGTAGCTGGCTTGATGGCAGGACACCGAGATGGTATTGGAAGAGAGGATATGGGAATTGTACTCTTGGGAGGGAGTTGTTGCTCATTGAAGCAGAAGGCAGATGCATTGGAATGGCTACTGGAGATTGTAAAACACTTAGGAGATCATCTTTTTTTTTTTTTTTTTTTTTTTTTTTAAAAAAAAAAAAAAAAAAAAAAAAAAAAAAAAAAAAAAAAAAAAAAAAAAGTTCTAGGAAAAATATTAAACCC